GATGGCCTTCTGGAGGTTTCTGGATCTCCAACTGAAAAAGCCATTCTTCAATGGGCTGTCAAGGTACTTTCTCACTGTTCATTAGCATCCATTCTCCAACTTTCACTAGTTCGGATATTAATCATCTTCATTAATTAAACTTTACAGTTGGGAATGAAATTCGATGTCGTGAAAGCAGAATCCATTGTTCTCCATGTCTCTCCTTTTAATTCTACCAAAAAGCGAGGGGGTGTTGCATTAAGAGGGAGGGTAAATGATTTATATCAGTTAATATTCTTTAAAATCCTTTTGACATTGATATGATTTCTGAATAACTATGAAATTTCAGTCTAATTAAACTAGCATTCGACTTTCTAATTTCAAATTTTTTCAAATATTGCAGACTGGATCTAAAGTCCATGTACATTGGAAGGGAGCAGCTGAAATCATTCTTGCTTCATGCTCACAGTACATTGATGTAGACAGTTCCTTGCAGTCCATTGAAGAGCAAAAGGTTGGCATTTCATCAACTTTTGCGGAACTGAAATATCTGTTGGCACATAAATCTGTGTCCACATAAATACTTCTAAGTTGTAATCCACTTTTCATTGCAGGGTTTCCTTACAGATGCTATCGATAGTATGGCTGCAAGAAGCTTGAGGTGTGTTGCCATTGCTTACAGAACTTGTGAAGCTGACGAGGTTCCTACTGATCAAGAAGAGCTGGCACAGTGGAATGTACCAGATGACAATCTGATTTTGCTGGCAATTGTTGGTATAAAGGTGTTGAACTCATCGAGTAATAATTTGAATTCTCATTTCCTTTTTCCTTTTAAGCACATTCATGTGCTGAATTTTTTAGGGAATACTATTATAGGCAAATTATTCTTTGTCTTCTATGGTTGCATATGTTATAGCTTTCACTTGCATCACCGGTAGTAGTAGTTGTTGTCGTGCACTATTTCTAATTATTCATTTTTTTAATGATTTCCTGTATATTAACCATATTCTGTATGCAGGATCCTTGTCGTCCAGGTGTCAGAGAAGCAGTAGAACTGTGCAAGCACGCTGGTGTTAAGGTACTTTGATCATATTCCAAAAAGCTGGCACTCAAAGAGCATCTTTAGCTTACGGAGATAATATTCTATAAATGTTTGTTCATTTGATGTTTGATTTTGGTGAACAAAAGATGCAATTGTTTGGAAAACAAAGCATGATGTAAAAAGTGTTTCTGGCATTTGAAATACATTGATCCTATCGTCTCTTAGCTTAAATATCATGTTCTGAAAGGGAAACAGAACTTGTCCATGGATCTTCCCTGAGCCCTTTTCTGCATTTTGTTGTGTTTTGTGCTTCATCATAAGTTTCTAACTTGGTTTTTATAGAACTAGTTTGTCAGGCACTACTTACGTTTGTTCAAATAGTTGATAGCTCTGTCATTCGATCATGTCATTTTGTTTTTAGAATGCATTACTGAGTTTTCACTTCAATTCGTGATCAAGCACATATTCTGCTAAGACCATTATTAAATAGATGAAAGAGAATCTGATGTCTGGTTGCTCTGTGTGCCACCATCAGGTGCGAATGGTAACTGGTGACAATATTCAGACAGCCAAAGCAATTGCGACTGAGTGTGGTATCCTTTCTCCTGATTCTGATACAAATGAACCCTATGTTATAGAAGGGAAGAAGTTCCGTGAATTGACTGACAAAGAGAGAGAACAAGTTGCACAGAAGATTTCAGTATGTCTAGCAAGGAATTTCCCTTTCCCTCCTTAATATCAAGCTACATATGATCATAACTATTTATACGCCTTCTGTTTATCTTGAAAAGGTTATGGGGAGGTCTTCTCCAACTGACAAACTTCTGCTTGTCCAAACATTGCGTAAACAAGGGGAAGTTGTGGCTGTGACTGGAGATGGAACCAATGATGCTCCTGCATTGCATGAGGTTTTATGTCCTAGCATACATTTCTAAGACACAAATCACCTTCCACCCACAAGCAATAGACTTCATCTGCATGTCCTTGGTCTTTGCACTTATAATTTTCATTAGGTTCACATGTTAAACTATATTTGATAATTCTATATAGTATAAGCTTTTCGTGTAAATAGTATCGTTTGGGTGGGTAAGTGGTAACTGATCATCTGTCTTTTGGATGGCGAGTAGAATTTGTAGTAATTCAGGTGAAACTTGAAAATAATTTGTCATGCACAATATTATGTGTGAATGAGTCTTTCACATAATATAACTAATTTGTCTTCTCTATTGGTAGGCTGATATAGGTCTTTCTATGGGCATACAAGGAACTGAAGTTGCAAAAGAGAGCTCAGACATCATTATCTTGGATGACAATTTTGCTTCAGTTGTGAAGGTTAGGGTTGAGGGATATATTTGTTCATCAGAAAAATGTCAAAACCCTATAACATATGCACTCTGAAATAGTTGAACTGTTCCTCTTAGTTTTTCCTGTGATAATATGAACTCCTTTTTCACTTCTTGTAGGTTGTTCGCTGGGGACGCTCTGTATATGCAAATATACAGAAATTTATCCAGTTCCAACTCACTGTTAATGTTGCAGCTCTTGTGATCAATGTAGTTGCTGCAGTGTCTTCGGGTGATGTTCCTCTAAATACTGTGCAGGTGACTTTTCTCTCTCGCTCTTTCCAGGCACATTGTTGTGAATTCAATAGTTTCATAACTTGCAAACCGAGAAGAGTTGTACAGCTAACTAGAATTTAAACTTGTCGAGGAAATGCAAACATTTTGACATGGTATATGTTTTGAAACATTGAAAATTTTAACTTATGGTATACGCCAATGATTCGTCTTTTTTTTTTCAATGCAGCTTCTCTGGGTTAATCTCATCATGGATACTCTGGGAGCATTGGCATTGGCTACCGAACCACCAACTGATCATCTAATGGATAGAACTCCTGTTGGTCGCAGGTTGGTTTAGCAATCGCATTTGTCAAATAGATTATTATAACTTACTATACAATAAGGTCCACGTCGCATATCATCTTGGCCAGTGTATATCAAACTTCACGCTAAAATTGAAGGTTATGTCATCTTTATATTGTCATAATGGCTTGTTACTTAAATGCTCGTAATCTTTCAGGGAGCCGCTTGTAACCAATATCATGTGGAGGAACTTGATTATACAGGTCCTTTACCTTTTAATCTAAAATTCGACCTTTCTTTTGAGAATTGTATATGTAGTTCATTATTCTATTTCATACTTCTTCAGGCTGTATACCAAATTGCTGTCCTACTTGTTCTCAACTTTTCCGGCATAAGAGTTCTCAACTTGGACACTAGCCAGAGAGAACATGCTAACATGGTGAAGAATACTGTGGTATTCAATGCGTTTGTTCTCTGCCAAGTAAGTACAATTGTACTTGAACAAATGATCCAACGAAACCCAATGAATTTACATGATATCCCAATTTACCAGAACCATAATTCAACTTCCCATCGAATTTCCAGATCTTTAACGAGTTGAACGCTCGAAAGCCAGAGGAACTGAATGTCTTCACAGGGGTGACGAAGAATCCCCTCTTCACAGGAATAGTCGGGACTACTTTCATACTTCAGGTGATGATATTGCGTATTTAATGCATTTCACTGTTTGGAAAACTGTGGAGTGTAGTTTTCTTCATGGCTGTTAACATGCATCCTCCTCTTTCACCAGATAATCATTGTCAATTTCCTCGGGAAGTTCACTTCCACCGTCAGGTTGGACTTGAAATTGTGGATAATTTGCCTTGTTATCGGCCTCGTCAGGTTCGTGAGCTTGCTTCATTGTTATTATTATCAGCAATACATATGCATAAAGACATTCCATTTCGTTTTGCTGTACAGAAAATGCAACAAGGGTATTCACTAAAACCAGATCTATTAGTTCTAGTAACAGATGATATAATGCGGAAATACGCAACGAGCATCATAAATTTTTCTGGAACTTAAAATTTACTGGAAATTTTGCTGATTTTTTTTTTCCCTTCTTGCAGCTGGCCTCTTGCTGTTGTTGGTAAATTCATTCCAGTTCCAAGAACACCTCTAGCAAAGGTCTTCATAAAGCCATACCAGCGGTTGATTGCTTCTCGTAGTGCACGCAATGCTACCTAAAATATTCGTAATCAATCAATTGTTCG